ACCTTTAAAAACCAAAAAAAAAAAGAAAAAAAAAAAAAGAATCAAGATCCATTTTGATACATGAATGATAGCTCAGTTTTGACGCTGCCTAATTCTTCCTTTTCACTGTGATAACTGCAGTACGGCACAGATGGTGTGTGCTGAGCTGGAAACATGAGGTGTGGTGGGTTTGGTGTGTCATCAAGTGGCCTGTCGCCAGGTGATGTCCGCGCTGTGGGAGAGGCTGATTCGGGTCTGTCTTCGTAAATCTACACAGAGACAACACTATCACTGAGGGTAACACTTAGTGGGAAAGGAGTCTGACTGATTTGACATTGGTCAGTAAAATGAAGTATTGGAGAGGAGACGAGGTAAATGGAGGACAGACAAAGAGAGACGAAAGACCCAGGGGACAAGTGAAGTAGTGAAGAGCATCAACATCACTGATGCAAACAGAAGCCCAAGTCTGGAACAGCCGTCTGCCATCCCCATGACACCCACTCCAACACCACCCTCCACCCCGGTCTTTCATTGCATTCAACTAACAGCCTGCAGCTACTGACCTACACCGACACAAGCAACCCAGACACCTGCAGTCAGCTGATGCTGAGGGGGGTGGCCAATGTGTTATTGTCCAAACAGACAACTCTGAGAAGGAGGAGAAAGAGACCTAAAATGTTAACCTCATTGTAGAACAGAGTAAGAAGAAATGAGCAAAAACAAATGAAAACTTCAGAGTGATAAAGAAGGAGATTTTCTGTTTTTGCTGAGTTGAACATCAGAAGCAACTGGAGATGAGGACAGTGTATAGGACCTGTACAGTGTTGTCATCCACTTTAAGTTAACACATCAACTTCTGTACACGACTGCAATTCTTAACAGCACTTCCCAGTGACTCACTCAGGTTGGCCTTTCTGCTCTGAGGTTAAGTATGAGACGAAGAGCAGAAACCTCCTCCCACCAAGTAAAGGAGGTCCTACAGGGTATGTTTTCACGGGAATTTATGGCTAGAATAGGCATAATAGCCCCAGAATATTTAAATGCACTATAGAAGCAGTAATAACTGCCACATAACCAACTGAAAGTAATCAGAAAATCAGATTATAAATTCATTTTAAATGTCCTTGGTAATAGATTTCAACATATAACCATTAACTCATAACATTAACAAATTCTTATTCAACCAACTAGTGTAAACAAAGCTATTGCTTATTGTGGGTCTCAGTAAATGACATTACAACATGCCAAATCAGCATGATTGGGTTTGCCGATTCAGCACAGCTGGGAACTGGTACCACACACCTGGGTTGAAATCAAAGACTTGAGGTGTCAAAACATGTCCACCCTCTTAGAAATGCGCAGAAAAACAACAGCTAACATTTCCTGTCATTAAAACTGACACATTTGATACAAGGGTGTTATGTTTGATAACAGCCATCGCTCATCCCACACCGTCCACATCAGACAGAGGTGTGAAGGCAGACACACGTCAATCAGATCCTGCTCACAAGTCGAAACAAGGTGTCACGTAATGGGATTCTTTAAGGATTATATAGAATCTTCATCCAAAAAACACAAATGCACAGACCATATATAACGTTAAACTAACACTTGTACAAATGTATTGAACCAAACTGTTGTTGTTAAAATGGCAGATGTCATTTGAGACATGACAATCTGTCCTGTTTTTTTAAAACTGCTCCTGTCTAGAATCTGCTGCTGTTCTACAATGAACAGATCACTAAAAAGATTTGCAGTTTTGAAGTACAGAACAGCAGAGGGCTGCTTGATATCAACAACAACATGCTGAAACAAATATAACTGAAAATGAGCACAAATTTTGCCTCGGAGGGATCTTAAATTGTGAAATTTAGGCAGTAAAGAATTGAAAAATAATTATTTGCAGGGAAAGCTTATAATTCACCCAAAGGATACCCAAAACTTTTTAAAACTCAAAAACAGAAAATTAAGTATAATTACAGCTAGCCTGGGAGTGC